CAAAAATCACGAGCACAAAGTAAAAAGTTATGGAAAAGTATTCTACAATTGCGTGACGTTACAACTGAATATTTACATATGGGTGTTTCCATGAAAATGTCAACCAGGACTGAAAAAATAAAAACAACTGAAAAAGGTTTATTAGACGAATTAATAAGAGTAAAATACTCGAATTTTTATATTATAGAAATATTTCAGCTTATTGCAATTTTAAAACTCAAAAATTTAAGAGTAAAACTGAGTGTCTCTTCGACTCAGTTTTCTCTAATGAAATTAACTATTTTCTCTTTCCTATTAACTAAATTAAGAGATTTGAAACATTACAATTACATCTTAAAATCAAATTTGCAATAACAACTAACTATAAAAATGAGAAAAAGGAGAAGTTAGAGCTCGGTTAACGGTAATTTTTTGATTTGCTTCTGATAGTATTCTAATGTCGCGTACGTTATGCAAAAACATTGTTTGTCTATGTCATTTGTATATTGGCAGTCGCAGGTAATGCAGATTACAATTCTTAAGCGAGAATTCTTCCAGTTAAGGATATACAGTAAAATTTTCTTTCCAACCGAAGTAAAACAAATTTTATTACCCTTTAAAGTTTGTCGCATACGTTATTGTAAGTACGAAAATTTCAATCAAATACATCAAAACCAATGTTAATTGCAAATTTTCCATTTAAATTATTTAGAATAGTTGTAAAACAATGAAACGGTGGCGAGAAGAGTTCTCAATAAATACATTTTATTACTTAAGAGAAAAATTGTCGCGTACGTTATGTCGCGTACGTTATTGGCTTTTTTAATATAAAACTAGCCAGAGATAATTTCTCTTAAAATATGAAAGGATTGTAAAGGTACATTATTTAGCTTAGTTTAGGAATTTTTAAAGAAAAGAAAAACTCCCATGATTCGCAGACTTTCGCATATATGCGTGTTTCCACGAAAATGTAAACCGAAAATGCAAACAAATGAATTCAAACGGCTTTATAACTTTAAGTTTCGTATTCAGATCTCGGAAAAAGGTTTTCAAAACGCGAAACGGTGGAGAGAAGAACTGAAAAAATTTAATTTAGTATGTGTTACTAGTAAAAATATTGTATGGGGGGAAAATCTGTCGCGTACGTTATGTCGCGTACGTTATGTCGCGTACGTTATTATATATTTTTTTAATAAAAACTAACCAGAGATAATTTCTATCAAAAAATGGAAGGATTGTAAAGGTACATTATTTAGCTTAGTTTAGGAATTTTTAAAGAAA